AGCTCAGCAGAGCCCACAGCTGGGAAGGGCTGTGGGGAGCTGGAGACTGGCCCTGCCATGGCATTGCTGGGACAGGGGGTCCCGGGCCGTGGGCAGGTGGGGGGAGCCCCAGGGGCCTGGGCAGGGACAGGCCAGGCCCAGGGCTGCTCTCAGGTCCCTGAGCCAGTGTATGAACTGGCATAGAGGGCCTGATTTATTTCAAATCTCAGTTTGTCATATATAGTAGAAGTAAACGGGGGTATGGAGAGAATAACAGTTTCAGCCTCATAAGTGGAAGAATAAAATTCTTAAAAGCACCTAAGAATCTAGAAATTTACTATCTTTCTAGAGGATTGCACATTAAGACCCAGACCCATAAGGAGATGTAGACAAAAAACTGCCAAACTAACTTTTATGTGCTTGACTTCATATATGGAATAAAAGGTTGTAGAAATAGGCACAGCAAGTAACAAACTAGTAAGGGGCCAACCTTAGTGACCATGAAGGAATGTCAAAAGGAGACTTGTATTTGAAACCCTGCATCTTTTTAAGTCTGGTTGATGTCAAAAGAACAGGAGTCCCTAACACTAGCTCTCTGGCAATTAACTTACTGGAGGATTGCTTTCTTTTAGAAGACAGTAGTGGCACTGACCTTTGATATAATAGCTTCATAGATAGCTTAGCCATCCAAGTCAGAAAAATTTGTTTTATGTGTTCCTTGTCTTCCTGGCGCTCACATATCCCAGCTGCTACTGACGCTTCCAGGTGATGCTTTAGTTGGTAACACATTAGACAAAAGTTAGGCAGCGTATCTACTCTGACCATTATGTTTAGCCCTGTTTCCTGATGATCTTACTAGTACCTAATCACTGAAATCCAGCTACATTGTTCTTAGTAATAGCATTTTTTGATCTGGCTCTATTTTGGAAAATTATATGTGGCATTTGTGGATTTCTTCAACAATCCACAAGAGAATATAGAGAGACATTCAGTTCCGGGAGGAATTAAAGAATAAAATTGTAACAGTGCAATTCAACTCTTCATGAACCAGAAAAGTTGTTTGGATTTTTCAGGTTTGGGCAAACTCAAAACGAATGTTACAGTGCTGCAGTTTCACATAGTGAGCACTGGCCTGCTTAATGCAAGGGACTAACCATAAAACTGTTTTTTTAATGGTTTGGGGTTTTGTATTTTTAAGAAAATGATCAAAGCTTTCAACATACAAGGCATTACATAAGGCTTTCTTTTTTAGTAATAACTCTCCTTCTTATGTGTAGGAAGTTATATAAGGAAAAATATAGTAATGGTCCTTCTGGTAAAAATCGGGAAAAGTTCATTGGAATAGACTGAACCTGTTGTTGCTTGTGTCAAAATCTGTTCCTGCTCTTTCAAACTCAAAACAAGACAGAAACAACAAGAGGAGGGGAAAATTATAGCAAAGTAGAAAATCACTCCATCCCGCTGTTCAGGCTCTTTCTTGTAGCTTCATTTCTGGCAAGAGACAAACACAGCACACGCTGTAAGTCACAGCAAACTTATATCAGATCATTTAAGTCATTGCTCTCAACTGCTTTTCTGTCTGTTATCTGAAGGCACAGATATCAGACTTATTAAACAGAACACAAAAGAAAAATGGTAAGAAAAAGAAGAAAATCAGGGTTGAAAATTATATGAGTGCAGGGAATGGGAATAGCAACAACAACAGCGCACTGCTGCTGCCAGAGACTGTTCTTGACTTAGTAAGGACAAGGAGTAATGGTGTTATCTACGCACCTCTGTATTTTCTTCTAGCTGAGATAGAATTTCTCAGGACTTTCAAGGACTAACAATGTCTAAATGGGTACTAATTGCAGCCCTAGGAAACAATGAGTATTTTTCCCCTTTTCTGTTAATGTGTCAATAGCAAGTTTTAAATTCAATATCTGCCATCAATATTGAGTCTTTAATTCCCTCTGCTTTTTTCAGCAAAATGGATGGCAGTGGAAGAAACTATCCCTTTTTTACTTTGCTCTCCAAGTATGACAACACATTTGTCACGTTTACCATGGGGTAGTGTCTGTGAATTTATTATTTACATGAATGCATTCTTTCATTCTCTAACTTTTGTTTACTTTTCATGAGACAGTGTTAGGAGACAGGCTTGGACTTCTCTGATCTTAAACAACTGACACTACAAATTTCTGCACGATGTATCTTAAGAGATCAGTCTTTTCTTTCTCTTACATGTTAAACAAGTTACTGTATGCAGACATGGCTTCATTAAAGCCAAAATGTTTTGTGAGTTTCTCAGTTCAAGTATCCACAGAGGAAAGCCATGATTTTTTTTTTTTAATTATTTTAATTTATTTTGTATTAGTATTATTATAATCATTTATATACTCCTTGTCCTGGAGTGTAGTGACCGGCAAATGGTATTCACAGTCTTTATCCTTGTATAACTATGGATGACTTCTAGCCTCCAGAGAAATGGGTTACACTTTTACATCTCATTGTTGGTACTTTTTAGAATTACTCCACACATGCATGCATCTGTATTGCTTCATAGCACCAGTATTTGGGTTCTGTAGGTCATAGGTACAACATGCCTTTGTGTGCAAAAGTAAGCATATTCTTAAGATCCCTGTAAGTGTATACCTGAGAAAGTGCAGAGGGAACAGCACACAAAGTCATGCTCCAAGAACGTGGTGAACATAGGCTGTGCTACGTGCAGCGGCTTTGCCAGTAGTGTAAGAGAAGATGTTCCTGAGAATTCTGTGAATAACATGGTGGCTTTCAAGTATAATGCAATGGCTCTATTCTTTGGGAGGACTTTCAGCCTTCAATACCTGCATGTTCTTCCTACACTCAGTAGGATAAACAGAGGCAATATCCATTTCTTCCAGGACAATGAGTTACCATAGTAATTTTAGCATGCCTATCCATTTCACTGGGAAGAGCCAAAAATGTCTCAACAGATAAATTATTCTAAATGGGATTTCTTAGTATTTGAAAACAACTTTTAAGATTGAAGAAGTACAAATAGATGTTTCAAGTACCGTTTTGTTTGGAGTTTTTAAAGTTGTTATCAATGAGGAGGAAAATAACTTTTCTTTAAAATCAGTATCAATTCTTTTATGATATTCAGTATATTTTTAATGCATATAGAGGTAATCATTTCTGGCCTTTCTGTCCCTGGCAACACCTTTGGTGCAGGTGGACCATAAACCACATCCTCCACTGACTGTCATTCCAAATCCAGAGCCTCATACCTGTTGTACAGAGGCACCTGAGAAGGGGAGATGGACAAGGAGAGGCTTTGCCTACCACCTCGAGTGTGGACTTTCCTCCATTTACTCCTTTCCTTTATGCTACTGCCTTCAGCCTGACAGAGGGAGGGTACAGGATCCCCTTGATCTTGTTTTTTTTCTGGTAGTTGTTCCTGTTTCGTCTCGAGGGTAGGACATGGTTCCACCAGTCTGTCTCTTTCTCAGACTCCCTGATGCTTAACATTTCTACTTCCCCTCACAGCTCTCCCATCAGACACCTGGTCACACCTCACACAGCTGTTCTCACTACTTCCATCCCTTACCAATGAAAGGCTCTGGCACACCCTGCAGCCTGAGACCTGGATGGCTCCATGTTTTCATGGGAGCTCTGTCATAGAATCATAGAACAGTTTGGGTTGGAAAGGACCTTAAAGGTCATCTAGTTCCAACCTCCTGCCATGGGCAGGGACACCTTCCACTAGACCAGGTTGCTCAAAGCCCCATCCAACCTGGCCTTGAACACTGCCAGGGAGGGGGCACCCACAACCTCTGGGCAACCTGTTCTAGTGCCTCACCAGCCTGACAGTGAAGAAGTGTCTGGGTTGCCACATCCCTTCTGCAGGGATACAGCTTTCTTCTGAGTGGATACCATAGCTCCTTAGGAGAGGCCGATGACCAGCAACTGAACTCCCCTCTTGAGCTGCTAAGGTGACTATGTCCTTCCTGCAAGCTCTTCTCTCCACCACATGAACTGTGGTGCAAACTGCTGCGCTGCACTCTGCCCGCTCTGTTTGCAGCGCTCCTGGTTGCTAGCGCTCCCTAGGCTGCCTTTTGTAGGTGTGTCTTGCCTCATTTCTTAGTTAATGGTTAGAAGCATCAGTTTGTAATGCGTTTTAAAACTCTTATATTACATGATTTAGTGGTTTAGTTCACTACTTTGCCTTTGTCAACTTCGGATTTCAGTCTTTGATACCATCCTGCATATCCTTGATATTTACACTGAGGTGGACTTCTCTGTTTAGTCCCTTCTTTTTCTTTTCTCCCCTAAATCTTCTATTTTCTCTGCAGTTTTGCCATGATGATCTTTATATATCTGTGTGCCTTTGAGTAAATGAAGGTTTAATGCATTAGCATCTGTATATTGAGATCTTATGCCAAAGAGGAAAAACACCTAGTAGCATGCATTATTATTTCTATTCATGTAAAGAGAACACAATCCACTTGAAAAAGAACAGATACGTAACATGCAAGCCGAACACTCCACAACAGCTTCAGTAACTGAATCTGAACCAGGTCAGAACATAAAGTTGCTTCTTTGCCGAGTATGCTAGTTTTTCTGTTCTTTATTTCTTCCTATACTGGCATGTTCCGTATGAGGTATAAATAGATAGATAGCCTGTCAAAAACTGTTCCTCATTAAATTGTAATTTTTAAGTTAATGTGAGGGTTTTTTTTCAGAAGGAGTTATTATATTTTTTTGTGTGCTTATTTAAATAACCATATGCAAATTTAGTTAAATAAGTTGACCTTATTTATTTTCCTATACAAGCATCAACATATACTATATCAGAATAGTGAATATGGCATTTTCAAAGTGTCTTTATAAACTAGTAATGTAACAATTCATAATTACAAGGGAGGAAGAAAGCAGCATTAAAAAAAAAAGACCACCATGTTTGAGGAAAATAGAGATAATCCTAAAGCATAATAATAATAATTTTAAAATGCAAAACATTTCAGAGGAGCATTGCCTTTTATATACTATTTGATTTTCAGAAATCATACTACCTGACTTTTCAGAGGATGATTTTCCAGATATACCGGAAATTGAAATAATTGAAAAGAAGATTGACCTTTTCATGCATGACTGGCAAACAGTGGAGTCAGAAATCAGGCAGTCATCTCTAGTTCAGGTTGTTGTTTTAGAGGTTGCCGAGCAAACTCCAGAAAGTCTGCTTAATCAAACTGTGCTGGTTATGGAAAGTAAGTAATACTGTTTATGTGATTTACACTTAACCTACCAAGAGGGACTTTGGAGAGCTTGTATGATTAATATATAGGTTATACTCAGTTCTGAATTATTCACATGAAGTGGGAACAGGACATGCTGTGTTCTGTGGGTGAGCTGAAAAGCACACAAGCAGCCTTTAAGACATAGGAGGACTGGGGAATATATATATTTAAAAATATATATATATGCCTATACAAATATGTACATGATAGCTCCCTAAACATTCTGGCAGTGCATTTCCCCAGTTACTTGCTCTGTTCATGTCAGGATACTGATTTGAGAAATGGACAGATAACAAAGGTTCACTAATGTACAACACTAATTGAGGTCAGTGAGAATTTCAGGGTGTGTAACAACCCAGTCTACCCACCTGCATAAATTTTGTTTCAAGACTGGATTTCTACAGTATTGATATTTTTTTTGCAAATTACCTTTCTTCACTTGTGTGCTCAAATCTCTTAACAATTTTGAGTATTGGATAAATACTAGTAATACTACATTCTTACTATCATTACCACAATGCAAGTGTTTTATTAATCAAAACATCTAGTGTGCTAGCTTTATAATCAAATAAAATTTGGCTGATGATTTTCCCCAATGAACAATAGAACCTGTTGCAAACAGCAATGACACTGCCTGTGTGTGTTTGTATAATACTCTTATACTACAAGTTCCCATTGAAAATACCAATTTACTTCAACCAAAAAACAACCAGTAGAATTTCCATTTTTGGAAGATGCAATATATTACTTCCTACATCCAGGTAGAACATCTTGGTCTAATAATAGGAGAAATAAAATAGACAGTTGGCATGATTTGCTTTCTCATATGTGCTTACTTTTATGGACAAAAGGAATATATTCTGGCATAGCCAAATGAAAAATATTGAAGCAGAAAAAAACCTCTAACCTTTTCAGAACCTTTTAAATATCATGGTTGGGAATTATCTGCTGAAGACTTAGATGAGGAAGCAGAAGATCTGGCTGCTGAAGGGGAAGATGAAGAAGAAGAAGTTGAAGAAGAAAATGAAAATGAAGTAAGCATGCTGGCTTTGTCTATTTATGCTTTTATTTTAACTCATTTATTTTCAGTTTGAACATAGCCCCAGAGAAGCTAGATTTTGCACCTGATTTTCTATGATCCAGTTTCAGCCTTCTTACAGAATAAGTATCAGCATATGTTTCAAGAATACTTTCATTATATTCCTATGTTCTGGCTGATAGTAGTTTTATTCCAGCAAGAAGCATAAATACCCCATGCTAATAGAGAGAATGTATGTACCGAGTTTTGCCAGATGGCAAAGACGGGTTTTATTAAAGAAACAAATGTGAAGTTTGGTTTCTGTCAGCTAACAATTCTATGAGCCAAACATCAAAAGATGGAGACTCCTAGTGTGCAATCTTCTGTTTCATCTCAGCTACTGATAATTTTCAAACACCCACTTTAATGAAATCAAATCTAACTTTGCCTTTCTTTTATTTTCATCCTATATTGAAGATGCCCAATCCCAAATTTAACACTACAGGATATCTGTCTACTGTTCTGGAGCGGTACTGAATAGATTTTTTAGAAATTAGTTTTATTGGATAAGTATTCTGACTTCATAATAACAGCTCTCATTGCCTTTTCTGAAGAGTTCTACTTCTGCACATTTAAAAGTAACAGGAAGTTAGTGAGTTTCAAGAACACAGCTGGAGAAGATTTTATCACAGATACTTCTAGCTAATTTTGGTCTTCAACAGATAACTATAATATCATTTCAAATTTTAAATGGTCATTCTTTTCTCAGTAATTCTCTCACTACAGCTTGTTTTCTGACTCTGAGTCTGAAAAGTGTGTATTTTTGTAGACATATTCAGATTACAAACTATCTTTAGAATACCATTCTTATTCAATGCTCAGTTGATGTATTTGTCATTACTTAATCTGATCTACTTAATCTACTTAATCTAAGTGAACTACTGAATTCAAATAGTTTTTGAAAATTTTTGTATTTCCAGGATGAAGAAAAAACTAAGGAAAAGAAAAGGCACATGGGAGACACAAAACACTTTTGTCCAGTCAGTCTGAAAGAGAACTTTGTCCTTTACCCAGGACTCTGTGAACATGCAGCTAAATATCAAGAAAAGACTTATTACTTTTCAACTTCTGAGTACAGAGATAAATTTTTGAAGAACCCTGAGGAGTATGTGGCTCACAATGAACCAATACAAGTGAGAATCTTCAAAATTGTTTAAAGCAGATAATAACAGATTAAAATTACTATTTTCCATTCCCATTTATAATCTTTTATTATTGTTGATTTTTTCTAGGCAACAATAAATATATCAGGCAAGTCCTTGGAATAAAAAAACCCACATTGCTTCCCTAGTGACTTTTTAGTCATACATTGAATTAATTATGCAAATAAAGCAGAAAAGAGAGGAAGATTATAAAGGCTTACAATAATAATAAGATGTGATTAACAAACCATACATATTGGTGGGGTTTTTTTACTATATTTAAGGCGGCAGAAGGGTAAAAGAAGGGAAAATTTACCAGAATTGTGTAATGAAGTTTCATTTTTACCTGATAGCATCAACTGTCATAGTGTACCTGTTCAGTATTTCCAGAGAGCAGGTAGTCTGTCTGGAACAGCAATAGAAAGCCTGGAAAAATTAAAATGCAAAATTATGTTTTTAATGCAATTTTTCTAATGGCATTTTGGAAGTGAAAAGCAGTAGGGGGTGCACTGTAGACTCCAAATGGTTACAAAATATTCCAATTTTGTCTTATAGGCTCCTCCTTTACGGGTATGCTTACTTGGGACTCATGGAGCAGGTAAAACTACTTGTGCACGACAGATAGCAGACAAATTAGGCATTTTCCATATTCAGTTTGAAGAATATCTACAGGAATTGATCTTACCCAAAACTAAAGTGAAAGTTGGGCCCCATTTTGATGAAGAACCTGAAGATTACAGTAAAATACCAATTGTATCACAGGAACTGGAAGGCTTCTCTCAGACCATGACTAAAACTGAGACTGAAAAAAGCAAACAGGTAATAACCTGATCTTTTTTATGTCCATACACAAAATAACTATTTTCAGACCAGAATAGGAATTTCCTATAAAATCTAGCTTGATAAAAATTACTTACATAAATTGTTTGCTTGATGAAATTTGGAACTAATAGTTCTTGACAATGTTTTCTTATGAATGCCGCAAATTCTTCAAAACATTTCCAAGAATTATGTGTAGTGTTTTCTCTAAATAGTAAAGATAGACACTAAATGGGGCAAAAGAAGACAAACTGAGAAAAAAAAAAATGAAGGCCAGAATAATAATTGGAAGGTAAGGTTTCCTTCAAGTACTTAGAATATGCTGGTTCAGTCTCGTGCATGTTCTCCAATTGCAAAGGAATTTAGAAATGTTCACCAGCAGTGCTCTCTGCACTCTCTTGGGGCAAAAGAACAGAATGCCTCTACCAGGCCTTCACTCTGAGTATCCCTTGTCAAAAATCTGAAATATTTCAGTGTTCATAGCAGGGCAAGCTAGTATTTTTTTAATACAGAAGGTTTTGTAATATGGATTGTAGTGTTGTCTTTGCCTATTGGCAGCCGAGTTTCAAATCAGAAAAAACCTCTTAGTAAGCATAAAATATGCCTTGTAGTTAAAAAACTTTCAAATATCCAGATATTCATGATACTGGTAAAATAATTAATGAATTCTAGTTTTCATAAAAATAGTTCTTTTTCTTAATCAGATTGAATACTCGTTCAAAATTGTTATAAATATACATTCTAAAACCCATCTCTTACAGGGTGTAATTTCTCTGAACAATAAACATTTACATAAATGTTTATCAGGAGAGAGTGATTTCTTTTATTAGCCAGTGATATATTGAGAAAAACAGACAAGGTTTCAATGCAAATGAATTCTTCTTTAGACAGCAATGGATATGATAAAAGCCTTCATTGTATGAAGTCTCAACACAGGTACACAGCATATAAATCTTTAAAAAAATGCATAGTACAAAGAAATTGAAAATCTACCTCCTAGACAATATAAATAGGGTTTATCTAACTCTCAAAGCTTCAGGAATAAATAAGTTTCTGCATCAAATTCTAAGAGCCCTTTTTTTTTGTGCTCCTGATACCTGCTATGTTCCTTCAAGTTACTAGTCATCAAAGAGCTTCAAAGACTTCCTACTACAGGATCTAAGGAAACATGCAGGAGAGGAAGCAGTCTACAAAGGAGGCATACAGAAACAACATCCAGGCACAGTATTAGGAAGATGAGCACTCAGTGCAAATGGAAACTATTGAGGGATCTGAAGGGTAGCAAGAAGAGTTTCTACAGAACAACAGTAGCAAAGAAAGACCTAGGAAATACGAGTCTGTCATTGAGTGGGGCAGGTGACCTTTTGATGAAAGACACTGAAAAGGCAGAGATGCTCAGTGCCTTCTTTATTCTGGTCTTTACAATCACAGTCTAGTCTGTGGCCTTGTAGGTCTCTGTGCCTGATAGAAAAGCATGGGTAAAAAGCGGTACTACTCACAGGAGAACAGGATCAAATTTGGGATCATTTATATAATCTGGACATATACAACAAGTCAACAGGCTGCATTCATGGGTGCCGAGGAAGCTGCCAAAGGTGCACTCAAGGCCACTCTCTGTTGTCTTGAAAAACAGAAGACGTCCCTGATAACTGGAATGTAGTGTTCCAGATTAAATAATACAAAAGCAGCTAATGCTTGCATGCAAATGCTTCAACACAGATGGACTACAGATCAAAATCATGGATGTCAGAACAAAGATTCAGGTTTTCATCAGTTAAATCTAAGAGGAGGTTCTTCTGGCAAGTCAGTTTACAACTCAGTTATCACAGCCAAAAATACGGCAAGTGTTCCCAGCACTGATGGTTATGGCTGGCTCTCACTCAGCTTTATTTTGTTGGCATCAACACATCTTACACAAAGGCACTTCTGTTAGTATTTTTTCTTCATCATCTTTGTATCTGCTGGTAAACAATCTTCCTCTACGTTTGCATTTTTTTCTCAAACTTTTTGTAAAGCGCTTTATCTGATGGCATGACCAAAGCACAGCTGATACAACTGCAGTTCAGTTTAGAAACCCATTTGTGGGTCCATGCACAGAACTCTACAGTATAAGGTTATGGACTTCCGACGCATTTCTCTGAGTATGACTACCACCAGACTGTCCAACTATCCTGTTTTTCACTGACCCACTACCTCTCCAAAATACTTTCATTTAATTTCATTTGTATCATTTGCTTTCACTTTGGCACAAGACACTAGAAATACATCTATCAAAGCTTAAGGTAAATGTCAGCTGTAATATTCAAAGCAAAAATACTAAAGGCATACAAAAACATACCATGCAGTCCGAGAAGTTTAGCAAAAAGATATCATCCTGGTTGTTTTAGTATGTGTCAGCCAAAGCCCTTGCAGCACTGACATGTCTGGGGAGCAACCTTGTCCTTCGAACCATCACTATGTGGGATGTTTTCTTTTCTGCACCCAGAATATACATCTCGTGTTTCTTTTATTTTATCAAATACAATTGCCATTTCAGCAGTTCATCTGCAGTGATGATGTCAGTGATACATTTTCATATGGGTTTTACTGGTTTCTCCCACTTTATAAATTTCTTTCAAGATGCAGTGTTACAGATCTGGCTACCACTTTGCCTTCTTGGGTATCTGTTATGCCATACTAATACTTTAAATATATATGCTCTGTCAGGCATTGGGAAAAATATTATTCTCTCCAACTCTCACACACACACACTACATTACACCTGTGGCTTCCAGCATTTTTTTCAAGTTCTTTTGGCTACATTATCTGAATAGATGTCAGACATATGAATTCTTATTCAGACATGTCCTTGCAGCAAGCAGCTCCCTACCATCATTTTGAGGGTTCCTGAATCACTTTGGAACCTTTTGTTAAAAAGGGTTATTCCTTTGTTTTCTGACAGGTTATGTTAACAAATTCTTGAGTGATTTGGGTTAATATGACTACTGTGTGAGGAAAGGACAGCAAAACTTTGTAATGAATTCATTAAAGAATCTCAGGGAACAACTTAAATCCATATGCTGAGAGGGATGGGAGAGTACCTACCTACATATTAAGCTTTCTCTCCAAGTGACTTTGAATGCAACTTAGGTGCATGTTTGATGGCCACTGACATTTAAAAGACACACTCTTTTGGTACTGTGTATCTAGTCTTCTTAAGCAAATATAAGTGGCTTTTTACAAATGAGACCTTGATAAGGTATGGCAGAAAAAGTATTGACCTCTTTAAAAGATACCAGATGTGTTTCTCTTACCACTTTGCCACTCTCTTTTCAGGAAAAAAAATCAACTCACTAGAAAATACTATTTTCTTCTGTGAATATTACCATCAAAAATGAACACAGCAGGTCAAGAACAGTGATATTTTCTGACTTCTAATGTTGTCTTTTATCTGGTATACTTGTAAAAATGTGTATTTTGATATTGTGACTGATGTAAACTAATCCAGAATCATAAATCTATACCCTCTTTTCATTCTTTGTTACTGCAGTTTGTGTCAGGAAGCCATTCTATGAGAAGTGCATCCTCAGCCATATCAATCTCAGTGTTACATACTCTGAAAAAAACAGTTTTTCACAAGAACTTAACGGCTAGATTTTGTATTTGAATGCTCTGCATTTGACTAGTCATTAATACTACTACTGCTCTGCAGAACAATGTTATCTGTCTGATTTCTGGTCATGTGCTTATACCCAGTAACCTTATGTATCTTCCTTTGACATCTTTCTTTGGATTGCATCAAAAGATAAGTTGCTTTTAAAAATTAAAAAAACATTCTGATATAGAGCATATAGTCTTCCAGCATGAGAACATGTATAACTAAGTCGAAAAGCTCTTGCAAGCAATTACGAGAAACTGGGATCATTTCCATTTCTATTCCTCTGAATTGAGCTTATGTATAATTAAATACTTAACAATTGTGCTTGATTTTAGGTTTCATTAAAACTCATACAGCAGCAATTGCCCCAACTCTAGGAAAGTACCCAACCCGAAGCACATGAAAAATATCCCAAAATGTATCATGCACTACAGTGAAATGGTGCAAATGAGTTCACTTTGGTTTTGCTGGTTTAAATCAAATGAAGACACATACCTTAGTCAAAAAGACTAGATGTGTCAGGTAGATATTTCCTTCTTTCTATTGTTTATTTTGTTTTACTTGTGGATTTTCTTTATATAAAGGAAGTGGAGTTAACTGATGAGGAAGAAGCAATCAAAGCAAATCTAATGGATAATAAGGCACTGTCTCCAGAAGTCCTTGATAACATTGTTCCTGACTGGTGGAGGAAAGAGCCATTCCGGTAACTGTAATTAGATTCTCTCTTTCTTTAATTAATCTTAGAAAATATATCATCCATTGTGTCCACAATTATAAATAACTACTGCAGATAATATTTCAGTGCTCTTGTACTTCATATGAATCATGACCTACCGCTCAGTCTCAGGTTTGTTACTCTATTTTGGTTGATATTTTGACAGTAACATAATGTCTCATGCCCTCTACAAAGGACTGGACAAAAGCACTTGGTGCACTTGAATTGGATTAAATCTCCTGAATAGCCAGGTAGTTTTCATGGGTTTACAGAATAGATATGTAAATAAACATTTTATGTTTTCATGTAATTAATTAATAAACATGGAGAGATGGAATCCACCTGTCACTATTGGTTTGCATATATTCTAAATATTGTGTGGAAGGCAAAGACAAAGTATCAATGTTCTCCAAAATAATAAAGCAGCAGGTTATCATTTGCATTCATCACAATCTGCACTCCAGTGATGTATCCACAATGGACTTCCTTTCATATCAGAAAGCACATCCACACTGTGATAAATGTGGATACACTGTAATAAAAGTGGATTATTGTTACATAAATAACTAAGATCACTGACTCCTAGAAAGCAGACTGACTTTTAGGATGTAATTTCAGCAGGGAAAATCTTTTTTTCCATGTCTGATCTATTCCATTCATTTCCGTCCAGATCATACCTGCTGGCAGCTTGACCATTAAGTTTCAATTCCTAACAGTATGAGAAACGCCTTAAAAAGAATAAACAAGATCTTCAAATAAACTTGTTCTGTCAGTCCGCAGATAGGGGACAATGCTCTCTTAGTGGTGTAAAAATAGGGAGATCAGTTTTAGGAAAAAAGACCAAAAATTACCCAGCATTACACATAGTATTGTAATATTATATAAATTCAGTTTCATCAGGGATTGTATAGCAGAAGAGAACCTTCACCATGATATATAACGTGATCAATATCCTCCCTCCAACTTTTTTCCACAACACCCAGGACCACCTGTTCTTCCATCCACTCCCACTCCTTGTAGCTGTTTTGGTTTTCTGTAGTTTTATAATGTATTGTATTAAGGTCTAAAGTAATAAAGAGAAATATTTCTTATTAACACAACATTCAGCTTTACAGAACTACTCATCTAATTTGAGACCGTAAGAGTTCCAACAGGCCACAGAGCTTTCCAGATATATCTGACCTGCTTTTAATATCTGCAGGAAGGGAGATATAGGTCATGCTGAGTGGCAAAATTCTCATCCTATACTAGAGAAGAATTTGTCTGGCATTTCTGAAGAATTTTCAGGCAAAAAGATTTCTGTGGCAGATGTTACCAAAATAATGTTGGAGGCACCTTCTATTTTTCTGAGAGCAGTGGCTAAGAAGTACTGGTTTTAGAGTTATTTTGCTTTTTTAAAAGTTATTTTTAAGTAATTAATCTCTGCGCATTAAAACATCAGAAGAAATATATTTGTTAAGTACACCAATTAAAATACATAGTGAAGTGTCAGTTTTACATTGTCAAAAGATAATACCTGAAAGCATTTTTTTAAGTTTACTCTTAACATATACATTTAATGAGGGATATTAGATTTCTGGGGGTTTTTTTCAAATTAATTGCATTTTCACTGTGTTACACTTCATACTACATTGTGTAATGATAAATATCTTATATTCCAATTAGGTCCACAGGATTTATACTGGATGGTTTCCCTCGTACTTTAGATGAAGCCCAGTATTTGTCAGAACGAGGACTCTGTCCTGATGTTGTGATTTATATTCAAGTAGAAGAAAGTGACATTCTTGACCGTCTTTTTCCTCCACGTCTGAAAAAATGGAAAGAAAGACAACATAAAAAAATGGAAAATAAAAAGAAACTGAAAGACCTGAAGGCAAAAATAAGGGTAAGTTTTCAGTCCTGTCTACTTTTTTGTAATTTCAGCAGCCCAGGAGGTCTGAACACAGATTCTAAAACTCCCAAAGCAGTCAGATATGGGAGCCAGGAGACACAGCCCCACACATTCACAGCATTCTTGGATTTACCATAGGAATCAAAAATAACTTAGGGCTCCTTTCCTCCTCTGTGCAATTAATTCATGCAGGAGTTTAGATATCTCGCAGCCCAAGCGTCTGACAGAATGCCATACGTCTGGAAAGTCCTGGACAAAAGGCAACTAGATGGAGAGAGTGAATATGACCATAAAAAATCAAATACACAGCTCAGGCATGGTTTTGCTGTTGCATCTCAGAGTTCCCGACCATGTGCTCTTGGGCTGATCTGTATCTCCCATTGGCTTACTTCATAGGTATAGTGTATGTGTCTGTGTTTCCAACTATGATACTCTGCACAGAAATGTAATAGTACTAAGCCACACTCTCAGTCCTGTTGCAGCCTCACAGTCTCCCAGTTGAACAGAGCTGTGCCTACTGCTGAACAGGTTACAAGTTACTTGAAATAACCCGAAACCTCTATGAAGACTTTTACAATCAGCACATGCAATATATTCAAGGTTCCTAACTTTCTATAAAAGTGAGGTAAAGTATGTCACATGCACTGTCAGAAAAGTTGTGAGTAGAAGTTACAACAGAGCAGCTGACACGCAGGAAGTCAGGGTCATGGAAGTTGGGACAAGGCTCACACAATACCAGTTAGTTTTCTGATCTGCTTGTGCCAAAGGTTGGATCTGACAATGCATATAATCTCAGAGAGTTAAGATATTTTTTTAATTAGTCTTTCTGGATGCAAGTTGGAAATCTTGCTGGAAAAGGTACATTCTAGTGACCAGTCTACGTTGCTGTACTAAGCTTATCCTGTAAGCAGATACCCTGTTAATTCAAGTGGCAAATGACTTGGATCCTAGGGTCCAAACTTCTAATGAACAGTGTAGGCATCAATATGGCTCCTGATGACAAAGCAAAATAACAGGTTCCTATTTAAACACATACACAAAACACTGATATAAACTGACAAAGGCATTAAGAAGTAAGGGAAGAGCAGGATCAATATCTCCTGAGTAACAGCAATTTGATATTTTTGCTTATGTGTATTGCAATATAGGTTTTAGTTACCTATTGAGTACTTTTCTATAGCATCCAGTTGGTGAGCAAGTTGATGAGAATGCAGCATTGCTGAGTGTACTGTTATCCCTTCTTTTGTTACTAAAGCTGGAGGACATACAGTGAATCTGAGAAAAGCAGACAGACCAGTTGAATGTTACCCTAGAGTTCCCTTCTCCACTGAAAGAAGCTGGCAAAAGGACCCTAAAAGCAATGAGTACACTTGCAGTGCAATGTCATTCAGGAACATCGGAGTTTAGTCACAAGAGTAGAGAAAATTAGTCTGTGCAGAGTTTCTTGCTGCTCATCTTAGAATGGTCTGGTGTCCAGGCTACTTTGCTTGGAGTTAACAGGGGTTTCTATAATTGCACTATTGCCTGTGTGTTGATATACTGTTTGTCTGATCTCAGTTCAGGTGACAGCACTACAGTGTGCATGAACAGCAATGACAGGTTGAATTCCCATCAAGCCCACTGCCCTTAAGTAGAATGCTTCTGCATATTACTTCTGAGTTAGGATTTAGCCATCAGGTATTTGACATGTATACTGAGTATGTATGGAGGACTTTATTTCAAATGCTTATAATTTGGTCAAACTTGGGCAGTTCTACATAGGCACAGGGAACAGCACACATTTAATAATATATTCAGTGACCCCTTTGCCAAATGGCAGAAAGCACCTATAAGTTTAGAAACTCTAGTTTACTGATAAAAATATTATATTTTCAGTGTGATCAGAATCACAGTCTTTTTTTCCATCCTAATCTCAATCTCAAAAGTTGACAAATTGGCTTCACTGAAATTTACTTACATGTTCACCTAGCAGATAGGTGTATCCAGTCTGCAAAATTTCAAGCTGCACAGATAGTATTTTTTAACATTAGAAGCAAGTGGGAACTGGAAGAGTTTTAAGGTGGAAAGAACATTATTTCTAGGTCACATTACCAATTCTCAGAGGAGAGCTTTTATGAGCAAATATCACTGTCTTCTTACATCTTTTTTTCACTCACAGGGTGAGAAAATTGCTAGAAGAAGAGAAGAACTTTTAGCAGAACAAAACCAAAATAAACAGAAGGTAAGAAAACAAGCTAATAAAGATTTTAAATAGCAGTGTTTGCATTCATATCTTAGAAATTTCTAGAGCTTTTAGTCACAGAGTTTTCAAGGCAATGTAGAATAGTAAAAATGTGATAGTCTGTCAAAAACTTCTGCTTTCAAAAATAATTCGACAAGATGTTTAAATTGTTTTAGGAAACTATTGGTTCATGAACACAAAACAGTTTAAAAAGAATTCTCAATATGTGCTCTAATTCAGCAAAATACTTATGAATGTGTTTAATATATCTAATTTGTAATTAAAGAGTGGCCCCATTAATTGCAATTGGGCATGTGTTTTAAGTAGCCTGTCAAATTCATGGTTAATCCAGAATAGGATTGTACCACAATTTCTGCCCAAACTCCATTACAAAGTATATTTATAAAAGCATTAAGGTACTACTAGACTGCTCATGAAATTCTGTCAACTACACTTTCAGTTGACATGCTGAAAAAGTCCTGCCAAACTACAATACCACAACGTACGAAAAAAATACTCCTCTTACCAAAACTGCAGTGTAGCACTTCGTTTTTTTAAGCACTCTTGGAACTGGTACAATACATCACTGTATACACTATGCAATACCTCTGTATTTTCTTCAGAAATATGATTCTAGAATTTACTAGATTTTTGCTTATGATAAAGGATGCCCAAAAATGAGGTTTTGTTGAATTTTTCTAATTAAAAAAGAGACAAGAATACATATGTTCCTTCAAAACAACTGTATCATAGACATGAAACAAAAAAATATTTTACCTTTATAGGCTTTAGCAAGTAAGGAGCATTATGAAGCCACTGAGGAGGATGAGAATGAAAATGAAGATGTTGAAGCTATACTTGAAGAAGAGTTTTTAGAAGATGAAGAAGAAGAGGCTGAAGAAGAACAAGAGATTGATGCAGTTGACCGCATACAAAATGAAATTGCAGAGAAGTTTGATTCAGAAATAGGCAGTTTACAAGGTGTACAGGTACCTACTCCACTGCTTATTAACTTATATGATTGGATGACGCAAAAGAGTTTCCCATTTTATTTGTCAAATTTAAAAGTCAAAGTGCTTAAACAATTGTGCTGTTGTACTCATGATCTAAATATGTGAGCAAGATGAAGGCTGTAATGAAAAGTATATACTTTAAAAGTATATAATTTATAAGACTTTATAATTTATAATATTGTGGGGTAAAAAAAACAAAGGAAACTTTTGGGTACACTTACCCAGTCTTGGGGTCCTTATTTCCTTTTTGATAGGTCAGTTGATACAGGTAACCAAACTAGAGAGTTATAAACATATGAACAGTATTTTAAAATATTTTTTAAGGCAAAACTCTTATTAGACAACTCCAACTTTTTTATATAGTTCTTAGTAATGTAACCTTCTTGAAATCAGTGCAATTACCTATGGTGATGGAACCACATCTAACTTTAGATATCTGCAATGTTAATGCTCACATCGAAGGCAGTAAGTAGATTGGTGCCATTTGTTTACTATATACTGAGTATTTTACTTCAGGAGGAAACTAATAGTGATTTAGAAGAAACACTACCCACTAACCAGAGAGAAAGTTTACAGAAGTAGATAGCCAAGACATAGATGTAAGATCTGCAAAATGAATCCATCCTTTTCCAACACCATAAGTGTGACTGATTCAAGGTTCACTTTATTTTAATAGTTAAAGGATTAAATGTCAGGTGAATCAAAAATAAACTCCTAACATTCTTTGCACTACAAGAAAGCACAAGCTGTGTGGGAAAGATTAATGTTTTGTACTCAGAGATTCACCTTTCTATTAATTTTGGAAGAAGGTGAGTTAAAAATGCATTCAACTTACAAAAGTGACTGTAAAATGTCATAATTTTATTGAACTACTCAATGCATATATAATCATGTATCCCAATGATAATCACAAAAATAATTTTAGGAGTTCTGAATGAAGCCTGTAGCTAATTTCACTCTTTCGAGTATAAACTGAGTTTGCAAAATAGAATTAGAAACAATTTAGGATAAGGCCCATGAGAGACACTAAACAAGAAATCCCGCTAACAGCCTTAGCTCTTTACGTGAAAGCTGCAATACTATAGTTCTTGGAGCATTTTGTCATTTGGGACCATATTACCTGCTGCATTAGCAAACTGATGAAAAATTTCATCAGAAAAAGAACAGGCAATATTTTTAGAGAGTAACTAAATAAGCCATCCTAAATTGTTTGGAGTAGGGAAAAAATTATATTTGATTATTTTTTTAATAAAAGATACTTCTCAAGTTTTAGCTTTATCACAGTTCTAAAACTTAACTGTCAGATTGTCCGGGAGGGTTTTTTTAATAGTGTGATACTTAATATAGGCTGGGTAATTTAAACTTCAGTGGGCAGGAAGACAAATTCTCATCTCAAATCAAATTTTGCTGATTAACGGTGACTGAGAACATGCTCAAGATATCCTTGATAACTTGCAGAAAATCTTGCTGTCAGTTATTATTAAAAATCTGATCATGTTTGTAATTCTAATATTTCATTCTGTTTTCATTAACCAGGAAGAACTTGAAAAAATGTTAATACCACAAATCGAGATCAATGGAGGACGGAAGCCTCACATTGTACACTACCAAATATATAGCAAGCTGAATTCTCTAATGGAAAATCGTGGAAGCATTTTTGAGAAATGTTACCCAATAAGTTTGCCACTTGCACATAAGATGATAGTTTTCTCATATAAATTTCAAAGTTCTTTTGGCCAGTGGGATCCAATCAAGGTAATGTTATTAAATAGCTGAAGAATATTTTCAGGAAGTAATACTTTAAAAAAATTTATTTCACATTAAAAAATGTTATCAAAGAGTAGCAACTAATACCAGAAATGTTTAATGAAAATGACATTACTGAATCAAAACTGCACCACTGACTATACACAAAATACAGCAAGCATAGATAAAAAAGGTGTCTTTTCAGCATTGCAGCTGAATTAAAGCTGAGAGGCATTTAGTAAAATCTGTTACATTAGCATTGGTGACACAACTAAAGGTGGCACTGAGTCAGAAAGAAATGCCTAATTCTTAATGATACACAAAACACAGGACAACAGAGAAGGTCTTAAAGCCCACCAGAAGTAGTGAAAACAAACTGAAAGGATTTGGGGTTTGAATTTGTAGGAAGACACACAGGAGGCCACCAACCCTAGCAGTGACAAAAAAAGTAAACCAAATGTTGAATTTGTGTAATTCATCAGGAGTAATTCTTTGTTGTCAAAATTTACAAATTTTGAAGATCAGCAAATTGAATTTCATAGTATTTTACTACAGGTCTGGAAAGACAAGGTCAGAGAGTACTCATGTCTATCCCCAAAAGTAAGCTGATACAGTTTTATAGGTACCAAGTGAAATGTTACTGGCTAAACTTTTGGTTTCAGTGCTAGAAATAAAAGCAGGTTGGACTGTGAGTAAATCAGAAATAAAAAGGAGTATTGATTTAAAAAAAAAAAAATTGTGACAAAGTACAGAAAACAGGAAGTTCCTGAAGGAAACATACTTCGTCCTTCATTTTACTATGCTAATTAATCAAGTAACTTTCATTTCCTTTTGTATAGTCATCATGTAGGGTCTTCACCTGTTCCACCTGTTTATCTTTCTTTAACCCTGGCAATCAGAACTGTATAGAGATCTGCTCTTATTACAGCTTTATATAATCAAAATACATAAAATGTTTTAGGATCAGCCTTTTCCATGGCTGCGTCAAACTGACATCAACTAATCTAAGGACACATTAATAGAAGTAGGTATTTCTTCTCTTCTGACATTTCCAATTACTGAACCCTAGCTTATATGTTTAATTCTTATTAGTTCCTACATGCTAGACCTTGCTCTTTGTTCTATTAGATTTCACTACATTTTTGTCATTCCATTTCTCCAATTCATTCATTTATGCTGTATAGTGGTTTTTTACCAACCGAAAAGTACAATTCAGTTAGAAGAAAGAAGTCATAGAAAGTTATTAGATAAAATCAGAGTGGTGTGCTGACAGTGGAAATGTACATGCTGACAATAATGAAAGGGAAATAGGATCATTTTAAGGGTATTTTAGGATATAATAGAAATGATAAAATTGATTACAGAACAGAGGGGTTTTTTTTGTAGAAAGGCAGAGAGAGTATATGCCAATTATTTTTAGATTAAATTGGGGGGAGGGGGGAAGTAGTTATGCAACTGATTAGATAAGCAGAGAATAAAAATGATGGGCTGAGGGCGGACTGGGAGCAGATAGATACACAGTAGAACAAACTCCTGACATCTTATAAATTGAGGGCAAGCACCCTGAAATGACTTCATGCATGAATAGGAACCTAAAAATCATAGAAGGGTCTGACAAGGTAATGCCCCGCAGTAGAACAGTCCCATCTCTTACTGTAGCAACCAGGAAAATTTATCTATATATTCAGTGACTCCTTCAAAGAGTACTAATAGATTTGTGAGGTACAGTTTCCCTCTACAAGAAGCTGAGCTGGCTCTTCCTCATTATTTCATATGTATGCCTGTAACTACTCGGTTTTTTCCTTAATATATTTCAAATTCATCAATACAGGGTCAGATTTACTGGACAACGTTTGCCAGGATCCATCCTGGAGGCCTCTTCGAAAAATGGTCACTTTCTCCACCTTCCTTTTTTGTGGAAGGAAGGCCACCGGAAGCAATAGGTTACACTTTAGTCAGTAACAATTTAACTTCTGAGTCCCTTTAGAACTGTAAGGTGAATGCCATCTGGTCTGGGCAATTTTTTCTACAGATGTCAACAATTTCTTCTAAAACATCTTTTACTGACACTTTAAGGCAGTTCCTCCAAGAAGGGCTGAAACAGGAACATTATTAAGCTCTTCCATAGTGAACAGTAGTGCAAAGAATTAATCTAGCATTTCTGCAATGATCATTTCTGCCATTAGTGCTCCTCTTACACCTCAATGATCCATCAACACTACAGACTTTCTAGTGGGCTGTCTGATGTGTTTGAAAAGATTTCATCAGCAGTGTATGTATTTTACCAAAAGCTTTTTTGCCTTGCTGTAGTTTTACACCTCACCATAATCTAAGTATTGATATTCTTTTCTGTTTTCTTCATTTGTACATGACTTCCACTGAATACAATATTCTTGGTGTATCTTCTGCTGTCGGGTAGATAAGTGGTTTGAATTCACAGAGAAATAAAATTATTTTCTTTATTCTTTGAAAATTAAAAGAAGTATTATGTGGTACCTCGTTGACTACACTCTCTTGATGGACAGAAAGTGTTATGGTACCACCTACTGGAAATAGTGAACATTATTTCTGTCTTCAATGTTTACTTCGTCTTTTTGTACAAGAATTGAATATTTATGGAAGTTCCTCAGACTCGGACAAATTATGATGTCCATCTGCATGAATTTCAGAATGCTTTTATGGTTTGTTTCATACAGTTTGTACTCCCCTACCTGCCTATAAATCTGCTTCTGTAGGACAGAAGGAGAGAAGGCTTTGTCAAGCCTAATCAACTGCTTCCCATTTTGTATATGCTACAGCTAAGTGAAGGAGATGTAATCATGCCACAACAAAGCCCTGAAAACACGGTCTTCCCTGTAATCCATCGACAATATATTTATTTCTTTTCAAGTAAAGAAAATAAAGAAACATTTATGAAAAACCCCATCAAATATATTCGTCAGCCAAAACCTAAACCTGCCGTGCCAGTTAAGATTGCAATCGTGGGACCTCCAAAATCTGGAAAGACTACAGGTAGGAGCCAGTATTATCTGTAAAGCAAAACCTTACCTAATGACTGAATCTGTATCTGTCATTATTGCTACTAAACAACCATAAACCATTAATATTGTTGGTCTTCCTGCTTTTCTTGCTGAGCACAGAATTTCTTAGTTACATTCTATAGTGTCTTCATTTGACAGTCAGATACTTACGCATTGTCCATCTGAATTTTATCCCAGCTTCTTAAGAAGTTAGTGACCTGGACTGGCAGTTAGAAAATCCAGATTTATAGTATTTGTACCCCTTGTATTATTGCTGATTATTTCCTAATTGTTTCTTATTTCTTTCAGTCAAGATGATCTAACATAAAATGAAGAAATATTCCTATGATCAAGGACCAAAACTCAAAACTCCGCCTTCCCCAATCTGTTTCCAAACTTCTAGACTAAATACCCCAAGATTTCTGTCTTTCTCCCCTCTCCTTCCTCCACCATGACTCCACAGGTCTCTGCCTTTAACTGGAGGAGGAGAAAATTCAGCTTACACCATAGCTTAATGATTAGAGTAGGGAGTTAGAAAAAGAAGAGACAAGTTCAAATTATCTCACATTAAGGAGGAAATTTTAACCATATTTCCCATTTCCTGGATAAATGATCTAACTGCAAGGCTGTTCTGTAATAGGGGCAGCAGTTTCCAACATATTTTATTACAATATTAACTATTGTTGCTGAAGTTTGTGCTGAATTGAACGCTGTTAGTGCATTGGGCATGCTCTGCACATAGGCAGAGGTTTGGTCCTTTTAGGGGCCTAAGCAGGGTTAGGTACCCACTTACCAATATTATGCATTGGAAATGACCCAGGGAATGAGTTGAGCAGTTAGCTTCTATGGTTAAGGACAGACTTTAACAGACTGCTAGGTTGTGATGTTGCTTACCTAAAAGTTGTGTGTTGAAATCAAAATGTTTTTGCAGTTGCCAAGAAATTTGCCAGCGTGTATGGGTTACTACGCCTCAGCATGGGAGATGCCATACGGCTAGTGTTAAACAATCAGCCAGAGACTGAGTTGGCATTAATGTTAAAGCGGTATCTTCACAAAGGACTGACTGTACCTGATGAACTGGCCATCCAGGCTCTAGATGTGGCTCTGATGAATCACGTGTGTAACACCACCGGGTAAGAGTCTTGTTTGGGTTTCAGGGTTTTTTTCAAGACATTCCAGTTCCTTCATAGGCAGTGATTCCCATGTTATCACTGTAAAACAATTTCACTAAACACATCAATGTTTTATGCGTTAAGAAAATAACCCATACAAAATGAGGTTCTTCACCTTATTCTGGGAAACCGGACTGAAACATAGTTTTCTGCAATTTTCAAGTAAGTGTATTCCAGTAAATCCAAGTAATATGCTTTATGAAAGTTGAGTTATTAAGAAGGAACTGAAACCAGTGAACCAGTGAGTCTTTCCATCTTATTCATATGTGATCCTGATTTCCTAGGCTCTTTCTCCACCATTGAAACACCTTCTAAACTGGGCAGACTTAAAAAGCTCCATGATTGTGATTTCATGACATTCAACTTCTCTCCCCAAAAAGAATAACTGTTAGAGGGAAAGGCACTTCTGGAATAATCTCTGAAAAATATTTGATCATGAGATCAGAATTCTTTCAACTTTTCTTCCATGTTAAATACTGCAATATTGTTTCAGTATACTTTGCCCCAGTATTGCCTAATATGTGAAAAACACTTCTTCAATATGATTTTAAAAACTCTATATGTGATATAAAACCCTCTTAAAATACTGTAAATCATTTTACTTTCCACTCTGAAAACTACTCCTCCCAATCCATATGGAGATTTTGCATAGTTATTGATGTGTCTGAATTTTGAAATCTACCATTTGTATAAGTCAGATCCATCCACTTACATTCCTATACCTTTTGCCCTTTGTGTATTCCCTTGACTATTTCTGATTCTATCTACTTGATTTTTTAAAAATTTGACTGTAAATTCTTAGGTGTGAAGACTGTGTCCATCAACTCAGGGCAGCAATAACTTCATGGCATGGGTGTTGACTTTTGTCTCTTGAGAATGTACTAGGACTATACATAGTCTTAATGGTTAATTAGAAACTGACTTAGGAAAACTGTCTTTCTGTTTCTGTTTGTATGCAGAGTTGTAATTGATGGATATCCTGTAACTAGAAAACAAGTAAACCTCCTGGAATCAGCTAGGATAATTCCAGTGAAAATATTTGAACTAGAAATGGATGCAAAAGAAGTGTTCAGAAGAGCACTGTTGGATGAGGAAAGCATGAACAGGTAGTGATGCACCCTGATAGCGGTATTTTTATCCAGAGGATATTGTCATTTCTGTATCGATGTGCCTCAGTGCTGTACCCAGAGAGGCTGTACCTAAACTGGTGCGTAACCTAGCTATCTCTGAACTCTATCTGAAAAGACATGGGGACCAGTCCCTCTACATTCTAATGCTTTGATTTCCTCAGACCAGAAATGAAGACAAGGGATTTGTGGCATGCTCTGGCCAGACCCCCGGCTGCAATGCTGGGCACCCACTGCTTAGTTAAACTGTTTTCAATTAAACCCTCCGTCAAAATGTTACTAGTTCACCCTGCTGCTGAAGTTTATTATTCATCAATTCAATTATTATGATCATAAGGGATATTGATAATTCATCTAATAATCTCTTTTTTAAGTCTTAATTGGAGTTCTTTTAAAAAGATGGAAATAATTTATATTTTAATAACATTTACAATTCTTGAGTTACTCATCTAAACCTTTCAGTTCAGCTCACTCTCTTCTTTATTCCTCTAAGAAGATAAACATTGCATTTAAAGAACTGTTGGTTGTTTTTGAGGAAGAGCAGTAAGTAGTTTATAAATGGACAGAGAATTAAAAAGAACAGAACATTCACCTTAAAATTAAATTGTATAAAAACCTGGTTCTCATTAAAGGTGCTTCTAAGAAGTTCCAGGTAGCTTAGAGCATTATTGCGTGTCTCTTTCTTTTTATCAAGTAATCAGTACAATTCATAATTGTTTTCTGAAAGCCTAAAGACAATTTGCATTGCAAAAAATTAAATTAATGATGTCTTTTTGAAAGTATTTACTTTAAACTTTTCATTTTAAATATCAAACTAATTACATTTCCTAGGCTTAAATACAAATCAAATGTGAAATATCAGATATTTCTGAAAGGTACAACTTACAGAGAAATTAATCCTATTAAAATGGAAGTTTATCTCTTTTTTTGGCATCATTTAAATTAAGAATCAGAAAAGGAAATGCTTCTATGTTCTAGTCAAAATATCTCTTCTGGTCTTGCACAATACTTTCAAGAGGTCAGATGGACTATTTTCATTTATGCATATGTAAATATGACAGACAGTTTTCCAAATATATCCAATGATAATGGTTACTTCTTCATTTCAAACAACAGCATAATTCCAAATGAAGCCTGTTTTTCGATAAACAATTGACCTCCATTTTAAAAGTCTCACAGCATTTTGTCTAGGGTACCATTTAATGGTGTATTGGAAGAGTGTGTCAGTTAATATGTGCTGATACCTTCCAAATCCTTTACAAAATTATTGATTTGTATTTGGGACATAAATAGCAAAAGTTTTATTCTTTGTTTCTGAACATAGCTGTCTGATCAAAGTATGCTGCTTTTCCTATGCAACTGGTAATATTCTTAATATGAAAGTTGTATTTCTCAGATATGTTCTACAGTGACAAATGACCAGATTTTTGTAAAAAGGGCTTAAAGTGAACCCTAGAATTTACACCTGAAATTCAGTGAAATGATCTAATCTTCAGACTTTGATCAGTGTTATTTTTCTTTGTCTTCAGACCTCCCTACCTTGAACATGACAGCTTACAGATTCTGGCTATTAAAAATTCCTGCTATAAACAGCACATTGATGCAATTAGGACTTACTATAAGAAGGAGCATCAGAACTGGTGTGTGATTGATGCCCTTCAGAGCAAGTGGTGGATCTGGAACAAAGTACTGCAGGAAGTTCAAGTGGTTGTTAAAGAAATCCAGACATACCTGGAAAGAATAAGAGAAGGTAAAAGAAAAACTAAGTTTGCCAGAATTATATTTGTTCCTTTAAGAAGCTGCAACGTAATGAGTGCATTTCAACTTCAGCTTGCTTTGGATGAAGCTAATTCTTGGGCACGTACATACCCTCAAATTCTTTAATTTTGAAGAGAGCAAAGACAAAACTGACTACAGTACAGTCTGAGGCCATCCTCC